CTTATTCTGATTAAGATGCCAGGCTTGTGGAGTTACATGATGTGGAGATTCACCATAAGGTGTTCATCTATGTACATAGGAAAGATAATTCAGATTCATTATTTTAAAGAATGTCTATCCATATCTTTTGCCCACAATTACCTGAAGCATTCGTCTTTCTGTTTTGAGGGTTAAGAATTTTACTGGTGTGAGTCTGTAACACGTACAAGAAGAAGAAGGAAATCTTGTGTTCCATTTGTGTACAATGTGTCAAAATGCATTCTACTGTCATGTATAACTAATTGGAACAATTTAAAAATAAAAAAAAATAAATTCGAAATAATTTAATTGAAAAAATACTTCTTCATGTATTCCTTACACAGTTTCTTATCAGATTATGATATTGTAACATGTTTTTCCTTTTCTATAGATATTTTTTTACTTTCTTGATAGTGTCCTTTGAAGCACAAAGTTTTTAATTCTTTGCAGTTTATTCCTATCATGGGAGGTACTACATATCCAAACCATTAAAATAAATGAGCTGGATTTCAAAATCTTAAAATGTATTAATCTCAAAGCTGTAGTGTTCACAAAAGAAAAGCAATTGACAGTAGATGGATGAAATTGGATGCCATTTATATAAATGTTAGAAACTCAACAGATCTTGGAAACAACATTTAAATGATATATGATTTATGTCATTTCCTTTTATTGTTTGTATTTTAAGTATCAAATATAAGAATTGATTGAAACCATATGGACTTAAATACTTTTTATGGTTTACTACTAAAAATTGTAGTTTAGCTCTGATATTAGGGTTGCCCAACGATTTTAATTTAAGTTTTACATTCAGGGCCATGTGAGGACAAGATGTTATTCTTTTGCATGTGGCTATGTAGTTGTTCCAGCACCATTTTTTGAAGAGTGTCTGCCCAATTCAATGGCCATGGCACCTTTCTGAAAATCCCAGGGGCCATAGACATGTGGGTTAATTTCTGGACTCTAAATCTTATTCCATTAATCTATATGTTTACCCATCTTGTATAACCACATTTTATTTTTGCTTTGCAGTAGGCTTTGAAATCAAGAAATGTGAGTCTTACAACTTTAATCTCATTTTTTCAACATCATTTTAGCTATTCTGTGTCCCTTTGAATTCTATGTGAATTTTAAATCAACTTGCCAATTCCTCAAAGAAGCCAGCTAAGATTCTGTTACAAAGTTTATTAGGATCTGCAAATCAATTTCAATACTATTGCCATTTGGACAATATTAAGTTTTCTTATCCACAAACCTGAGATGTTTTTCCTAGTCATGTAGATCCTCTTTCTTTTATTTCAACAATATTTTGTAGTTATTATTGTGCTTGTCTTGCACCTTTGCTAAATTAATTCTTATGAATTTTACTCTTTTTAATGTCATTGAATATAGTATTATTTTTTAATTTCTTAGTTTTTCTTTTGGATTGCTTATCACAGTGTAGAGAAATGCAGTTTATTTTTGTGTACTGATCTTGTATCATTAAATGCTGGTGAACTTGTTATTTCTTACAGTACTCCAAGAGAAGTGGTGAGAGAAAGATGCTTGTCATGTTCTTGATTTGGGGTGAAACTATTAAATTATTAAGCTACAAGTTTTCATAGACATCGTTTATCAGGTTTATAAAATTTCATCCTAGTCCTGATTTGCTGAGGGATTTATCACAAAAGAATGATTTTGAGAATTATTTTTCCGGTGGGAAGTTTGGTTTTGATTTTTATCAAATGTTTTTTTCTGCATCTGTTGAAACAATCCTCTGTGTTGACTTTTTATTTCATGGATTTGGTGTATTACACAACCATTTCCTGTGTTGTCTTTGCTTGGTGTTAGTAGTAGGGTAATATTGGCCTTTTAGAGTATATTCAGAAATGCTCTTTTAATTTTGGAAGTGTTTATTAATAATTGGTGTTAGTTCTTTATTTTGTAGAATCTACTATTAAAACAATCCAGATCTGGGCTTGTATTTGTGAATAACTTTGTATTACTAATGCAATCATGTTACATTTTACAAGTTTATTCAGGTTGCATATTTACTTCTCAATCAATTTCTGTAGTTTGTAACTTTTAGGATTTTCTGCACTAATGTATGTGAATAATCAAATTGTTAGAATTCTTTCATAATCCCTCTCCAATGTTAGT